AATATCTCAGTTAGTTAATTAATTACATCAGTTTTTTTATTTAGACGTGAAAACTAAGGGGAAAATTATTTTTAAAAACCAATTACAAAATATTAATTTGAACTATTTTAACAATATTATATAATAGTTTTTAGTAAATCGAATTTAACAAAAGAAAAAAAATCAAACATCAGATACAGACACACAGTGCACCAAAACAACACAGACTCAGTAATTTCTACTTTTTCGTAGAATAAATCTATTGAGTTTTAAATTACGTGCATTATGTTATATTATTATTGCAAATCGAAACGATAAAAATTAGTTTGTATTATTATACGTATTAAATGCTCAAATAATATGAATTATTCATAAATAGCTGTAGTACATATTATGTGCTGTACTTGTCTTAACGTTATTTTCGTCATTATTATTATTTGAACGAAAATAGTGCTATTAAATTTGAATATTGAAATAATTTTGCTATTATTTTGAATTGAGTGTGGATCAAAAATAATTAAAATGTATAAAACGTTTAATTTAAAAAATAATATTATTTATCGTTTATATGCTCAGACGGGTTTGTGTGTGTGTGTAGTGTGTACTGTCCGAATGGAATATGAAATGTATTTCAGTTTTATCAATTGCTGTTTTTAATTATTAGTGAATTACAAAAAGCAATAAGGGACCGGTGCACATCGATACGCGGTGTAGACAGGGCAGGTTAAGTTAGGCAGGGCAGATTAAAACTGCGTTACTCGCATGACCGCACATTGAACACAGTTTCTTGTCATCTTTGTATATAATTGGTCATAGAACATACAAATATGGATGAACTACACGATTTAAATTACAAACTAGACCTAAGTTCATAGTCTGATTCAGACTAAGAAATGAACGAACTTTTACTTTTGTATTCACTATCAAAACGAAATAAATCTATATAGAAAAGCGCGTACATGAAGAAAAGAAAAATGTCATAGTGAATTTATTCTGACATCAGAATTTTCCGATGCACGGTTCACTAATTATTTCCGTTTAAATCGAAATCAATTTAATAAAGTCCCAAATATTGTCAAAGATGAAATTTATTCAGCAGGATGTAATGCTCAAAAACCAATTGATCCCGAAGAAAAATTCGCTGTATTTTTAAGGTAAGTTATAATTTTTTATTAAATAGCGACCTGCTTATAAATATAAAAAAAAAATTATAGTATAAAATTTAGGATTTTTATGTAATTGTACATATTAATTTTACACTTAACAACTTTAACAAAACATTTTTCAACATAAAGTTTAACATTAAACATAAAATTTTAAATTTTGATAAAACGTTTGCATAACTTAGCAATAAAAATAAAAAATAACGATACTCAAACTAAGTTTTGAAAATTTGCATAAAAGTGTGTTAATTCACTTCGATCTCCACAAGCTGTGTATCCATAGAACTATTGGACATAAAACTTTCATGAAAACTGGAAGAGTCTCCTATGAATTGCCACGTGGAAATAGACTGATTTTCTCTGTCTAAATGATGTTGAATGAAGTGTTCGGGATATCCAAAAGAGCTGTCTCAGCTTCCGAAACGGTCTCAAATATTTTATTTTTTACTCTGAGTTGAGATGCTAGTGGTAGTTTTTTTCGTGGTGTGATACATTGAAAAAAAGAAATGATTAAGTGGATCATTCAAAGGTATTGAGTCCTCCAACCTTTTACGCTCAATCGCCCTTGCTTTTGCCCTATGTTCTCGATTTATAATAGATTGTTGTATTAAGTTGCCTATGTCATTTTTTTTTCATTTGATTATTCTGTGGCTCTATGAAAACCGTATCTCTATCTTCATTGAATTCAATTAATACGTAATTTTCATTTTTCACGATTGATGACCCCTGATAATTATTTTCTGACACTTCACTTACCTCTGGGTCTACAATGACATTTTGCATTGGAGTAGCTGAGTCTTCATCCCCACTATCTACCAAATTAGTCTCCTTTTTTCTATTTGTTATGTATGGCAACAAAAATGACATTTGTTTTTGAAATGTCCATTGCTTAATTATTTCAGCAGCAGCTTCACTTATAAAACATTTTTTTTGTCTTCTAAGTGCAGCATCTCGATGACAACACCTTAATTTTATCCACGTATCTTTTGCAAGTTCACCTGTTACATAATTTTAATTTGACTAACTATTTTTAGATTCTAAACGAAACTTTAGCCTAGGTCGCCTAGGATGTTTTATATCATATTTATATTTATATTATCTATACAGTAGTATGCAGTATCTACGAGTATGTTAAATTCATAATTAAATAATATTAAATAAATTAAATTTTAATATTTTTTTATTATTTATATTCAATAATCGTTTGCAAATGATTCGTTATTCTTACTCAATTTCATAAAAATTTAAAATTCAAATGCTCAAAAATTTTTAAATTTTTTTTAAATTTTGATCAAAATTTAAACTTCAAATCAAGACTTAAATCACAAAAAAAAAAAAAATGAAATTGTTTACTATTATAAGAAATGTAAACGTTTTACAATTTATTCGTTAAGCGTTAAATAAATTTAAAATTTTTTTAAATTTTCTGTTTAATGTTATCAACAATTTAAATTTTAAAATTTAACGTTATACCTGTAAGGAACCTCGTATTATATTTTAAAGATTTTTTACTAAGTAAAAAAGTTTAATATTCATAAATGTACAGGTATTTGACTTCGGGAGATTGCAGTTATAAAAGTATTGTTTACAGTTACAGGATGGGTGATCGATCGAACTGTGTCAAAAATTGTAAATGAAGTAACACTCGCGGTATGGGACACTATGCAACCTTTGTATTTACCACAACCTACAATAGAAATGTGGAAGTCAGTTGCACTTGAATTTCAACAACAATGGCAATTTCCCCACTAAATTGGCGCTTTGAATGGTAAACATGTCGTGATTAAAAAACCACCAAAAGGTAGTACATCATTTTTTAATTATAAACAGACTTTTTCCTTGGTATTAATGGCTCTTGTTAACGCAAACCATAAATTTATAAGTGTTGATGTTGGATCAATGGGAAGATTTAGTGATGTCAATATTTTTACGAGCAGTGTGTTGGCAAAAAAAAATGAACAATCTTTACAAATTCCACCACCTGAATTTTTACCTGTATTTGAACAACCGTTGTCATATGTTTTTGTAGCAGACGAAGCATTTTCATTATCGGAAAAATTAGTGAGACCTTATCCAAAAAAAAATATTGTAGGAAATATGAAAAATAAAATTTTTAATTACAGACTTTCTCGAGCACGACAAACAATATAATGTACTTTTGATATATTAGCGTCCCGTTTTCGCATTTTTCAAAAACCATTTTAAATTAAAGTAGAGAGTGTTAATAATGCTGTCAAAGCGGCTTGTGTGTTACACAATTATTTGCGAAATGAAACGATTATTTCAAATAATATAACAGATGAAATTGGTGAAATGCCGGATACTCAGTTACTTCTATTGACCAACAACAATTGTAGAACTGGATCTAACGCTTTTTTAGTGAGACAAAAGTATACAGATTACTTTAATACAGTAGGAAGTGTGCCTTGGCAAGTAGACAGTATAGCTAGAGGAAAGTACTGACAATTTTTTAATTTTTATTTTTTATTTTTTATGATACTATAATAACTACAAATAAATATTATTTAGAAGCGGTGCTGACTGTAATCTTGAGCGAAACTGATGGATGGGTTGAAGATGATAATCATAATAAAACACCGGCTGAGAAAAATAGAGAAATTATACTAAATAAAATAAAAGGATTGCCTGAACAAAATTACTTTATAGATGATTTACAAAGTACTGATGATTATGTTATAGAAGATAATATTGTTGAAGTATTATGTTCAAATCGTGTACAGCAATATTTAAACAATATTTATGAGCAAAGTAAAACAAATTCTTTAGTAAAAGGAGATCGGTTATCGGCATATTATCTTCCTGAATTAGCCAATCATGTTCTACGTATTTGTAAAGATTTCCCTTAATGGACGAATGTTATGAGAACAATGTTTAAATCACTATATACTAATGGAAGTACTGCCGTAGTTGAAAATGATTTCAAAGAACTTAAATCTCAAATTCTCAGATTTGATGTTCGACCTATGAGTGCAGATAGATTTATTATAACACATCTAAAAAATATTGAATCTAACGCAAAACTGATTAGAAGTACCCAGATTCGAGACTCTTTAATAGAACAAGATCACAGAAATAATCACATTTCAATCACTGATGACACAATGGTTCACGAGAAATCGAAAAATAAACTATCCGCACCAATAGAAAATTTAAAAAATATTGACGATTCTGATTCCGATGATTTAAATGTAATAAGTCCAATACCAACCAACAGTGATAGTATTCAGAAGTATTCCATCAGTAGTCCAAACTTTCTATCTACGGACGATGATTTGAGTACTTCAATAAACTCAGAATCATCCCTCAATGCTGTTGAAAATTGGCGTGACTATGGAAAGGATACAAATATTTCTCCAATGCAAATAATTAAATGTAAAAAACAAAGAACTACTAAATATATGAGTTCAAATCCAGAAATAGAAAGAATTCTTAGCAATCCTTCAACACGTTCATCATTGGATACTCTATTAATAAATGGTAATACATCTACTCCCATTCAATATAATAAAAATAAATATTTATTACACAACACATGTCTGTTTGATTCTGTTTCGTCGATATTAGTAATGGCATACATTGACATAAGTTTGTACAAAGATTTTATAAACAAAAGTAAAAATAGTATGTTACAATTTTGTAAAGAATTAGCTTACCATAAGACATTAAAAAAAAACATACACCGATCGATTTGTTCTCCTAAAAGGCATTTTTAACGAAGACATGAATGTAACTAACGTAAAACTTATTAACACGGAATGTAACGTATCTTTTATTGTAACACAATTACTCAAATATGCACCATCGGCTAAAGAACACATCACTTGTTCAAATAACCAATGCAAAAATGTTTCAAAAACTCACGGTTGTCCAACAATTATCATGCGATTTAAGGACAATGGGTTTAGTTTATTACAACAAAGTCTTATTCAGTATATTAAAGAAAAGAGATACGAATGCCAAGAAGAATTTTGTAGCGGGATCATCAATTCATTCAGAACCTTAGGATATCATTTGTTTATTGAAACCGATATTTTTGCTGAAAATCGACAATTTAACCTGGACGATTTTCCAGTGAACATACAAATTGAATCATCAAAGTTAGTACAGTAGTTAAACTTTATTATATAATTTAATCAAAAAATATAATTATATTCACTGTGTTAAAATTAAACATATTTAATAAATTCATACTACTTAGTAATAATCATACCTATATATTTTTCAGCTACATATTTTACGGAGCTGTAGCTTTTAGTTTTGGACACTACGTGGCGTTTATACGAAGATCCAAAAATAAATGGGAACTTCATAATGATATTTTGAAAAAAATTATGAAATTATCAAGTATAAAAGAAAAACATATAACTCCATATCTTCTTGTATATATAAGATTAAACTAAATATTTTAAAAAGAAACAAGTGAAATGTTAAATTAAATTTTTAAAATTATTATTAAGAATTTTAAATTTATAAGACTTATATTTCATTTTTTTAAATTATTAATTAATTAAGTTCATTATTTACAGTACATTAGTTTTTACTTTTTATAATAAACTATTTTGTTATTACATACCTAATAGGATACTCTATTATATCTGTTGAATCGAAAAAAATATTTATTATTTTATTTTTTGTTTTCATTTTAATAATGAAAAAAATTATATTTCTTTAAAAATAAGGCAAAATAAAATAAAACAGTGAAGTAGGCATCCCCAATTTTTTTTTTTATAAATACTAAAAACTCCATAGCAAATTCAAGCAAATAAACGGCTGATTCTAGTATCAACAATTGTTATTAAAATAGGAGATTTTTTAAACTGAGAATATTTTCTATGGAAATTAGTATTTTCTATTTATTTAGATTTTTTTTTTGAGTATACCCTTCATTAATATTACATTTTTTATTAATTTTAAAATTTTATGAAATAATGAATATTTTTAATGATTTAGGCTTTTTACTAAATTTAACATTTATTATTTAACGTTTTAAATTGATCTATTAACTCAGTTTCTATTTACAAATCTTATAATTTTTAAAATTTAAGGTTTTTATTATTAATTAATTTTTATTAAACTTTTTTCTAGATATATTCAGTTTTTTTATTCTAATTAGATAAAAATCTATCTTGATAAATTATTCTTAATTGAATAAATAAAAAAAATGATTCTATATTACAGGGGTGGCCAAACCGCGGCTCGTATCTTAACGTAAAATTTTTTTTAATATGAATTTATGTATATTTATATTTATGTATGACCTTTTTTACATTTTGGCTCTTCCATATTTATTAATATATTTGGTGGCTCGCGAGTCTCTTCTCTTTGGCCATCCCTGCTATATTAAGTAAAAATAAAAAAACTGGAATAAAAAACGACCATTATGAATTGAAAATCTTATTTGGTTAAAAAAAGTCAAGTCAAGGACTAAAATCTATGTTTTAATTATAAAAATGTAATTTAAATAAAAAATTAGAAGCAATTTTTCTAAAGAAGTTTGAAGTTCCTAGGTTAAAATGTGGAGGGGCTACGGTGAAGTTGCCCTCGCCCCCACCCAAGTAAAAAATTTTTTTTTCCGTGAAAATTGTAATAATTGCATAGCAAATTCTAGCAAATTAATAGGAATTTTTCTAAAGTGGTTTAAAATTCCTGTGTTAAAGTGGGGGGGGGGGGGGGCAACTTCACAATAACGCAGCACTCACAAAAATTAATGAAATATAATTTATTTTTATATTGTATTTTTTCAAAAAACATTAAACTTAACCTTAAACTAAGTTTAACTAATGTTATAACTGCATAAATGCGTTAAAAATGTATAATCGACTACTTGTCACTCGCATCTCTTTTCATTAAAGGAGTTTTTTCTGCCACAGATTCTACTATGTCTTCGGATAATCTTTGTTCACCTGTAGTCTCTGACCAGCAAATGTTGTTCAGATCTGCCAAATCTTCAGTTCCACCTCCACTCACCACACTTTCGCCTGAAGAATTTAATCGAGTAATTTCGGCTATGCGTAAAACTCAGGATGCTACTTTGGCTCAATGTAAGGCTCTATCCCTTTCATTCAATAAAAAGTTTTGTAAACTTCAAGTTAGTGTTGATACACTAGCTTCACAAATTGTTGATGTAAGAGCAGACAATACCTCTTTTCGTAACGAACTTTCTACTCTCAACAATAGGATCGGTGTCATTGAATCTGATGTGGGTAAATTGCCCTCTTCATCTGGTGACAATATTCCTCAGCTTCTTCAAGAACTATCAGAAAGAGAAAAATGTTCTTTTAATGCCATCGTCCACGGACTTATTGAATCTTCTGCTACTATACCAACTGAACGTTTATCTAATGACCTACATCATCTGTCTGAGTCCATTCTACCACTTGCTATGTCTCTGCCTCTAGATGTGAAGATGATCAGCTTGGGTCGCACTATTGGTAAGAACCCTCGCCTGTTAAAAGTCATATTTTCATCAAAGATCACTTCCCAACAATTCATTAAAAACTTTGTAACCGGTATGCGCTCTCGTGCTACTACCGACCCACCATTATTGGTGTCTGTTGTTCGTGATCGTACATTAATGGAACGGCAACAAGTGCGTCAGGTTTATGCCGATTTGGAACAGTGTAGGAAGAACGGAGAAAATAATATAGTGGTCAGACATTTCAACGGCGTTCCTTCCATTGTCCAGGCATATAAGGATTTTCAATTAAAACATACTACTCATCGTCATGTTACCCTTGCAAAAAACTAACCAGCTTGAACCACCCAGGGACCTGTGGTGACGTCAGTCAATCATCTTCATATCACATCGATCCTCAATGCTTTCATTTGGTACCCTTGGCTTCATGTTATCTTTGTAAATTATCTGTTAATACATCTACTGAATTTTTTGATTTTATAAACCGCTTTAAAAATAATAACCATTTGAATTGTAATTTAAATAGTTTAAACATTTTCTACCAAAATGTCCGTGGATTTTTAACTAAATTAAGTAATTTTAGAAGTTCCATTCTCCTTTTCATTTGTTATGATGTTATTATCCTCACAGAAACATGGCTCTCTTCTGACATCCATGACTCTGAACTTGGGCTTAATGGCTATCAAATCTTCAGGGTTGACAGAAATTATCCTAACAGTAACTACTCACGAGGAGGTGGTGTTCTCATTGCAATCAAGTCTTATATAAAAGCTTCTCTTATCTGTACAAACCTCAACACGTTCGTGCAAGTATATACCCTTCTGTCCATAATTTCATTTAAAATTCTCATAGGTGCAGTTTACTTACCACCTGTGTCCACGCTTCCAGATTTTGAAGCCCATACCAGCTCTATCGAACACTTAATATCATCTACCAACCCTACTTCTATTCTTCTCTGTGGTGACTATAATCTACCTCTTATTAAATGGTCTAAAAGCAACCAAGGTCTTTTCGCATCTGGTACCATGTCTAACACTTCTACTCATCTTGTCGATTCTTTCTCGTACTATAATTTTTATTAGCACAATCAGGTGTCTAATGCCCGTGGTTGCCTTCTTGACCTTGTCTTTTCTAGTTTTGACACAACTACTGTCCAACTAGCCAACACTCCAATCGTTTCTCCGGATTCTCACCACCCACCTTTGTTTGTATCTTTTCCATTTCCATCTCCGATAACTGCTCAAGATGCACATAAATACCGTGATTATAAATCCATGCTCCGTTATCTAGGATAGTTTGATTGGGAAAATACTTTTTTGCTTTATTCAGTTGATGATTCTGCTGTTGTCTTTAATGATGCACTTCTAAGCTCTATAAATAAGTTTGTTCCCACTAAAGTTTTTTCACCTTCTAAATTTCTAAATGGATCCACCATTCTCAAAACCTTATAATAACCAAGAAAGCCCATACAGTTTATAAGCGACCAAGTTGATATCTGATTATCTCGTTTTCTTGAATATAGAGCAAAAGTAAACGCCAGTCAAAAGTTGATTACTCTACTCATATTAGGCATACCGAAACTCTATCATCTTCCCCTCAATTCTGGAAATTTGTAAATAATCTAAACAGAAACCTCCAATTCCTTCATCATCCATCTCGTAATATTGCCTCAATACTCCAACTGATCAGCTAATCTGTTTCAACTCATTTCTCCTCGACGTTCAACTCCTCGGCCCAACTTCACCATTACTGGCTCATCTGATTATTTATCCTATGAACTTCTTTCAATATAACGTTTACTGTCGACGATGTTTTCTGCTCTTAAATCGTTAAAAATACTTACTCTAATGACCCGGATGACATATCCGCTCAATGCTTACAGTGTCGTTTTCTATTGCTTATCCAATTTATTTACTATTCAGGCGTTCATTAGATTTAGGGATATTTCCTAAGGTTTTGAAAATATCCTCTATATCACCTGTTCTGAAATCTGGTGACGCTTCGATATCCAAAACTACAGACCAATTTCTATATACCACATATTGGTAAATTATTTGAATCGATTGTATCTCAGCATAAAGCGTAGTCTTAATCATCTTATTATAAGTGAGCAGCATGGTTTAGATCACATAAATCAACCGTAACAAATGGTGTTGCTTTCTCTTCTATTTATCAGAGTTATCGAACACAGAGGTCAGGTAGATGTAATCTTACAGACTTTAATAAAGCATTTGACACAGTAGATCACGATTGCCTTATAATGATGCTTAAGTCTTTGAGGCATTGAATCCCCTACTAGCGGTTACTCTTACATTCAAGGTAGAA